TGGAGCTGCAACGCGCAGGGGAGAGGGCGGAGGAGGAGGCAGCCGGTGCTGCGATGGAGGCACTGTTGCGCCGCTGGCGGCGCGACACTGAAGCTTTGTCGGCAGCCAATTAGGGTTGCTATGATGGAGCAACACCCGCGCGGTGGGGCGCTGCAGTGCAGCATACGGCGGCCGTCGGAGTGCTGTGATGTAGCACAGTCGCACCGGTGGACTGAAGCTTCGTCGGAGGCCATGCGATGGAGCACCAAGCGATGGGGGCGCTGCAGTGAAGCATGCCACGACCGTCGGGGTGCTGTGAAGGAGCACCGCCACGCCGGTGACGGCACTGCACCGAAGCTTTGCCGGCGGCCACGGGTGCTGCAACGAGAGGTGCGACGGCAGCCGCGCGATGGGGCGCTGCAGTGCAACATACGGCGGCTGTCGGGGTGCTGTGATGTAGCAGCGCCGCACCTGTGACGGTGCTGCACTGAAGCTTCGTCGACGGCCATGCGATGGAGCACCACATGATGGGGTCGATGTAGTGAAGCATGCCGCGATCACCGGGGTGCTGCGGAAGAGCACCGCCACGCCAGTGACGGCACTACACTGAAGCTTCGCCGGCGGCCACGGGTGCTGCAACGAGAGGTGCGATGGCAGCCGCATGGTGGGGCGGTGCAGTGCAGCATACGGCAGCCGTCAGCGTGCTGCAATGGAGCGCTGCCTTGGCTACAATGGAGCGTCGTTGTGGTTGCAATGAAGCTTTGTCGGAGACATCGTCGGGGTGGCATCAATGTTTTTTTGTGCTTGGTGTTGCCATGGCCATGGCTGCAATGGAGCAGCATCCGAAGCTCCCATAGCGCTGCCCAGCGATGCAGCGTTGGGTGGTGGCTCTTGGAGCTGCGTTGCATCGCTTTCGACAGCTCCTGTGCCATGAGATCGTCGGACGGATTGCCAGGACGGGTGCTGTGTTGCTCTAATGGAATGAGATCAGACAAGGAAGACGTGAGGCGAGGCTGTATTGCTTGGATCAAATGGCCACCCAGCGCCGGATCAGACGGCTACTAGGCGGATGATTTCTTAGAGAAATCATCCGGTTGATTTGTAGCAGCCGCCTTTGATTAGTCGAACTTAATTTCGTTACTATGTTTGCGAGAAATACGTACTCTAGTAAACTAGAAGAGAAAATATACCTGAATCCTGATTAAACATCATTATTTAATAGCGAGTGTTATTGGCGTGCATGCAGATGATGGCATGGACGCGGTGGTTATTGTAGTGTCAATCGTAGGAGCTGTGGTGTTGGCGGCTGTGCTTTGGTGCATCCTCTCATGCTTCATGTGCAGAAGGAGAACTAGAAGCCATGACATCGTGACACGAACTGGAGGACCCAAAGAGTTCGAGTACCGTGTTCTGGCTGCTGCAACGGACGACTTCTCTGAGGCGAGGGTTATTGGGCAAGGTGCCTTTGGAGTAGTCTACAGGGGTACGCTGAGCTCCAACGGATCATCATGGGGCGCGTCCTTGAGAGAATTGGGTGGTCTATCATCAAAGGAATCATGTGCATCGTCCTCCAAGGAATCAGATAGCGGCGAGGTGGCTGTAAAGAAAATCTTGAATAAGATGAGGGGAGGAAATCTGGACTTCTTCACCGAAATGAACACCATTAGTGCAGCAAAGCACAAAAATCTCGTCAAACTGAAAGGTTGGTGCTGTAGGAAACACAGCCGAAACATACTCGATTGCATGTGCTGGTGTTGTAGGAAGAAGAAACATGACGAGCTCTTCCTTGTCTATGAACTGGTGCCCAACGGAAATCTGCAGTACCACCTACACGAGAGTGAGCAAGTAATAGCATGGCCAACAAGGTACTATGCAGAACTAAGCAATTTCAGTGTGCATACAATTTTCTGTTGTTGCAAGGATTAATAATAGATTATATACTACTATTACTGACGTTTCACTTCTCTTTCTCTCCTAGAGGGAACCTCACTCATGCATTCAGGAATTTATTAAGTTGTATGTTTGTGTATCAGGTACCAAATTGTGAAAGGAATCGGCTCTGCTCTGGTTTACCTCCACCATGAGTGTGACCCTTACATTCTGCATAGAGATATCAAACCAGCCAACATACTCCTTGACAACAACTTCAATGCCAAGCTTGCTGACTTCGGGTTGTCAAGGGTTGGCAACCAGGACAATGCGACGTTGATGACACTCGCGCAAGGGACGGAAGGGTACATAGATCCAGAATGCAGGAAAGATGGGAAAGTCAAGTTCTACCCTAGATCTGATGTCTACAGCTTTGGAATCGTCCTACTAGACATTGTATGCACACGGAAGTCCAGGGAGCAAGTCTGGGAGCTATATAAAGGAGGCATGATCATCGAGGCTGTAGATGAAAGGTTGCATGGGGATGACTTTGATAGGTGGCAGACGCAGATGCAGCGTGTGGCCGTCCTAGGACTCTGGTGTTCTCTTCTTGATGGTGCCAAAAGGCCTACCATTCAGAAAGCAATGGAGTTCCTGGAACGTGATCATGAGCCGTTGCCTAACCTCAACTATGCGGTGAACTCTTGTGTACCCTCGACACATCATGATGCCTACACTAGTCGCTGCTCTGATGAGCAGACACTTATGTCAGATGTCAAGTAACAGCTAGATCTTTCAGTGAGCCGCATACATGACTTTTCCGGTGTTCACGTGGACTACTTCATTATATATCCCACTCTCAACATTACTTGGTACAACATGGTGCATGCTAGCTTCTTATGCATCTCCTTGTTAATAATGTTGCGTCTCTCATCTGTTGCAAGGTCAGTATGTATCATGTGGATCACAATGCATGTGCTGACAGTGTGTCATGTCAAATCAACAGTTGAATTGAGCTGTTGATCTTTGTTGATCACCATGTATGCATGGTTACACATGTACTTGTTAATCTATCGTGGTTTGTAGGGTTCGCACATATTTCAATCAAAATCTACAATATGTCATGTTAAATGTACAATTGAATTGATCTATCAATTTTTGTTGATCACCATGTATGCATGCTTACACATATACTAGTCGCTTGATCGTGATTTGTAGAGTTCACACACATTTGCATGAAAATTTTGATCATTAATTTGTTTGATACAATATTATTTATATGTCAGAAAAAATAACATAATTAGATTCACGTTAAAAGAATTACTTGGTGTATAAATGACATGTAACTCATATTTTATGGACTAAATTAAAGATCATATTTTCTGTTTTTAAATCCACACAAGCCATAAAATCAGGATGGAGTAATATATAATGGTAACCTAAAGAAATATTCCCTCTTTCACAAATGTAAGATGTTTTAGATATTTTAATATGGACTACATACAAACTGAAATGAGCGAACGTGTTAGAGATATGACAGGCAAATCAACACGATGAAGAACAAAAAACAAGCAGGAGACACGAGATTAACATGGAAAACCCATCCAAGACGTATGGGAAAAAAACACGGGCGCCAGCAAGCAAATTTTCACTATATCGGGGAGGCTTCAAAAGCCGAAGATTTACAACTAATTAATTAATCCCGTGCGGCAGCTTACAAATGATATATATAACAAAGGTGACCTACATCAATACTGATCCGTGCCGCCTGAAATTAGCCTTTCTCTTTATACTTGATTTTGGATCACAACATAACAGAACGAACAAACACACTTAAATGCGTCTACATGCATTCAAATTTAAAACAAGTTAGAACATGTTATAATAGTGAGCGGGGGAAATATATACATATCCTTTGCCTATTGCAATAAGATATTATCTATTGTTAGTCATTGTTTGAAAGGAGAAAGTGACGAGGAGTGCCAATCTAATTTTTTTTCTTCCGGAACTCGTGTAATGTAACACGTCGTATTTTATTTTATACTACATGACAAACTGTTCTGTCTACGAAGTACTATATTGTACGAGAGTGGCGTTTTGGCTCCTAGGTGCATATGCACCCATTGTCAAAATACACATTTTGAAAAGTTTTAAAAAAAATCGAAACAAAAATCCCACGTGTATATCCGGACATTTTATGTGCCTTCACAAGGTTTCGGTGAAAAACGACGTTTTTTGTGGCTTGTGTAAAAAAGATAAAGAAATGCCTCGTGAATAGTTAGAATGAAGCATCAGAATTTGTCTTTTTTACACAAGCCACAAAAAACGTCGTTTTTCACTGAAACCTTGTGCACACACATAAAATGTCCGGATATACACGCGATATTTTTGTTCCGAATTTTTCAACTTTTCGAAATGTGTATTTCGATAATGAGTGCATATGCACCTAGGAGCCAAAGGCAATTACCGATATTGTACTAAATGTATTACAGATCTCAATTACTGTACAGTAAGTTTGTACTCCCTCCGTTCCAAAACAGATGACCCAACTTTGTACTAACTTTATACTATAATACAAAGTTGGGTCATCTGTTTTGGAACAGAGGGAGTATGTTTTATCAGATCCAGCAATCCACTACCATTGAAGAAACTAAAGTAGCAAATGTACAAGCAAACAGGCTACATGTGTACTGAAAGATTACTGAAGCATGGAGCTGTGATTCTCATCATCACTGACCAAGATAAAAGGACGTGTATCATTTCCTTGCTGATGAGCTGTGGCGCTGCTTATCGACTGAAGTTCATCTGGAAAAGTCCAAAACAACTCTCACTGTCAACCTTCGCTAGAGTAGGGTGCACATATATCTGATGCCATGTAAAATGTAAAAGGAGCCAAGGCAAGATGAATGCAACGATAAGTAAACGTTCATGCATTTTCCTATCGAACAACAACTAATGTAAACCTAAACTACTATGAATAATTATTTATTTATTTGCGAGGGAAACTACTATGAATATTATAAATACTAGTCAATTTTTTTATACTGCTCAGACAGTTGGCTCATCTTTGTCACATGTTTGGACATTTTGACAAGTATCCGTTCCTCAGTCACAGTCAAAGTCATCCATGGAGACTTTTCTATTTTTCCAAGGGTCCTGCTGTATTAATGCTAACTGGTTAGTTTGAGGCAAATATGGGGTCATTAGAAACTCCACTCTTGGTGGACTCTATGGTTCTTCAATATGTTCATCAACATGGTCCCCAAAACTTCTATTGTCGTAAACGTGTGATAAACAATAACACGAAGGCATGGGTTAGTGCTTGCCCTGTTTGATTGCACGCTTGCACATTAAGTGAGACAGAGCACGAGTGTCAGCATTAAGTAGAACACCGGACTTCAATATTTTTTTGACATCCCTTGAAGCTCAATATTTTTTCAACATTTATGTAGCGGCATGTAAATCTAATGGCGCAAGTGTATTTTGTTTTGGGCCATGTAGGCCTTCCTGTACAATTTTGTTACACGATGATGAAGCATTTTCTACCGTAAATTTCAGATTGTCTCGTGCTTTGGTAATTGAAACTATCATACTCAGTACAGGGAGAAACTATACAGGAGGCACAATACAACTTGTAGGAACATGACTTCTAGCTATCCTAATAAGAAATAAAACGAAGTTGGATCATACTATTTTCTTTTCCATTTGTACCATTGTGGAGATTAACATCAGGTCAAGCCTGAACTCTAAAGAATGCACAAGGTGTGGCAATTTTTTATTAAAGACTGAACTACCAAAATAAGCCACATAGAGATTGATTGGATTCTGATGAAACCAGCGGAACAAATGTAGAACAAACTAGTTACATTTGCTGTGAAACTAAGGTATAGAGTTGTGATTCTCATCATTGACCGAGATAAAAGGGCGCATACCATTTGCTTGTCAACGAGCTGTGGCGCTACTTCATTGAAGTTCATCCGGCAAAAGCCAAACAATTTCCAAGGTTTGATGGTCAAACATTGCAACAGTAAGCTGCACATGCGGGATCCTATTGCCTCGTATGTAAAATGTAAAAGGAATCCAATGGAAGACAAATGCAAAGAAATTAAATATTCATTTTGCTATGGGGCAATAATCAATTTGAACCTATTGCGAATATTACAAATACTGGCAAAAAATCATGCTGTCCTTGTCAAATATTTGGACATTTAGACAAGTACCTGTGTCACCCATCCACAGTCACAGTCAAAGTCATCCATGGAGACTTTTCAAGTTTGCCAAGAATCTCCACAAGACTTGGCAGAGGCAAGCCAAGTTAAATTTGTCCAGAGACCGACTAACAGCTTACCTCATCAATCCCAGCCATGGACACTGCCATATCTGCAGTTGCAGGTGAACTTCTGAGCCAGTTCATCTCCTTCCTAATGAACAAGTACAACTCCTTGAGCCATGCCCAATCAGAGGAGAATGTAGTGGAGAGGTTGCAACACCTCCTGATGAGAGCAAGCACCATTGTTGAGGAGGCAGACACGTGATACATAACCAACTCCGGGATGATGATGCAGCTTAAGACGCTCTTAGAGGCCATGTGCCGAGGATACTGTGTGCTGAACAGCTCAAGGTACATGCCCTCCAAGACAGTGCCGGCTTCGAGGAGGTTAGCATCAATGACTCATCTAGAAACAACTTATATTTAGCGAAGCACTCTCGAACAACAAATGTTAAGGCCACGTGCCTCGAGTCACATGGTGCCTTAGAAAGCTTAGAAACTGTTGTTGTTAACATCGCAGAATTTGTTGTGCTTCTGGGTAGATTTGATCGTATGTCTCATAGGCCATACGATGTTTATCTTTACACCAACAACTTCATGTTTGGGCGACACGCTGAAAAGTTGAGCTTGTTGTTACAGCAGAACGACCCTCCTAGTAATCATGCACTGGCAGTTCTCCCGATCATAGGTGGTAAACTAACTGGGAAGAAAACTTTGGTTGCTCATGTGTGCGGCGATGAAAGGGTTTGCTCACGCTTCTCCTCTATATTGCACTTGGATGGAGACAACCTTTTGAGAATACTTGATCATCGAAGGACCATGGAAGGTATGACGTTGGTAGTTATTGAGTTTGCTTCTGATGTAGATGACAATGACTGGAAAAAGTTCCACTCGTTTTTCATAAGGATGGACAGAGGAAGCAAGATGATTATCATAAGTAAACTTAAAAGATTAGCCCGGTTTGGATCGGTGAAACCAATTTTCCTAAGCCTTCTGTCTGACGACGAATTGAGGTACCTTTTCAAGAAGCTGGCATTCGGAAGTGTAGACCCTGCAGAAGATCGATTTTTTTTTAAACTATGATGATTTTTATAGTAAATTCGGAAACTATACACCTTAATGCAGAAAAATCAAAAGTATCACCCTGTCGGCCTCCGGTTGGCCGAAGAGGGACTTTTCGGCCTACCATTGGCTGAAGAGGGACTTTTCGGCCAACCATTGGGCTAAAAGGACTTTTCGGCCAATAGTTGGCCAAAGAGTCCCTCTTCGGCCAACACCAGCTCTACTGTTTTAGAAAATTCATATCAATTAGGATTTTTAGTATTTTAATTTGATTCTTTTTACATTAGATTAGAAATTTTATGAAGTTTTTGTAGACATCAAGTTTGACTAGATTTGGAAGTTTGAATTTGAATTTTCATGAATTTGCTCAAATCACTAGATTGCCTATAATTTGAGCTAGGAGAATTCTTTTTAGATGGTTCTTCTTGCTACTGGTTCTTTGTTACTGTGT